TGTGAAGCCTGTGTTTACAGTAGCACTTATTCAATTCTAATCATACCATCCTAGCAAGATAGTTTTTCTAGAATTGAAAATCAATACCTCTATCAGTACTGAATAACAATTTACTTTGTCATTCACTTTTTTCACAACTGAAAAACACTTTTTGTGTATCCCCAGTTCCTATATCGCCTGCCTTATCATGTATCATATCAACAACTGATGTATAACTTAAACTCATGTCCACCATAGTTGTTCCTCCACATCAACTTATAGTTTTGATGGGGGCACGGGTGGCCCAGTCGTCTAAGGCGCCGCGATTCGCTGTGCAGAGTTGCGTCCCTCGGGCACGCCAGAAACCTATGATTGTGGGTTCGAATCCCGGTTCGCCCCAATTATGTTTCAAGGTTTGTCAGCACCATACCCGTGCTCGTGGGTTTCACCGAAGAGGTAAACGTCTGAGACCTGCATCACTTCGGGCTTTCCTCCCACATTAAGCTGACACGCCGCGATATAACTGGAATACTGTTAAAAGCGGTGTTAAACCCAACTCACTCACTCACCCACTCACTATAGTTTTGATAAGTATTGATAGGGAAGGGCTTCGTTCCATGTGTTCTCAATACAATCACACGTGGATTAATAGTGAGTGAGTGAGTTTGGTTTTTATGCCGCTTTTAGCAATATTCCAGCAATATCACGGTGAGGGACACCAGAAATGGGCTTCACACATTGTACCCATGTCGGGATTCGAACCTGGGTCTTCTGCGTGACGAGCGAACGCTTTAACCACTAGGCTACCCGACCACCCCCGTGGATTAATAGACACTTGAAGGTTCAAGACATCAGTTGCACTATCAGAGATTTTTTAATTCATGTGTTTTGTGTGTTTATTCCAATGAGGAAACATATCGTTTTCTTTTTTATATCTTATAAAACCACATGCCAAAACGCAACCAACCTTATTCCTTGATTTCATGATAGTATTGACAACATATTTTGATATGTTTTGAATCATCCAATATCGGTAATCTTAATTTTATGAAAAATAAAATGATAATTCACATTTCAAACCACAATGTTCATAGTTTTGCCTTATATCATAATTTGAGATATGTTTTACATAAATTACCAAATGACAATCACAAGAAAGTTTCAAAAAAGTTTTTCGAATTTTCAGATCTTATTCATTCATTGTCAATAACCTCAAGTCATCCATAATCTATACATATATTCACATTTTATATCCTGCATCTTGGCATCTTGGCATAGAAGATCTGTAAGACAGGAAAATATATTAATCTGTCTTTACTGTTTATTTTCTCTAAAAAGTTAAATAAACAATTATCAGCATCTTTTGACGATAGGTCGTATCTCATACAAGCTACCTAAGTTGCCATATTCAAACGGATACTTTCTGTAAAAATGATGAGAAAAAAACACAAAACATTATCCTCGTAATACATGACAAAAAAAGCACACTTATACTTAAAAAAAAACACAAAATGGTATCTTTGTTTATTGCAACTTGTAATCATTGCTCATTGAAAGCTATACGAAAATATGTAAAAATATCCAAATACTTTCACGTCTAGAAATAGACAAGTCAGTTGAACTTTCGTAATTGAACTTCCCAGTCCTCGTAACAAAGTATTGCACCTCCCCTTAAAGCTCTTGTACATGGGATTAAATGCCATCATATGAAGATATTCCAAACCTTCATGATACACCAACACTGATTTCTATGACTCTATGACATCTACTGCCTGTGGGTAAATGCAATATCACATGTTTCCAAAACAGAAATCAACATTTGTTAAATGTTAAATTTGTCATTTGTATACTCCCTAGGGAGCTGAGAATGAAAACTGATGCACACTGATCCACTGACCAGGATGATAATAATGTAGCATCACGAGCATTCTCTTGGTGAATGGACTTTGGGGAATAATAATGGATTTATCATTATTAAACCACGCATAAACATTTCTGTTATTCTTTCAACAAAAAAGATTTTTTTCCATAAAAAAATAACAATTTTTCCCTTATCTTTTTGAGTACACTTATCATCCATTCTTCAGCAATAAGTAAATCTTATCTTTGTTAAAACAAAAAGTTTCATCACAAATTCAAATATCAATTCATACTTAAGAATATATTCATAACATATCATCAAGTGTAAGCTTCACCTGCTAAAATGTTTATCCCCTAAATGACGAATATAAGCAGAAAAAACAAACACAATCACAAATCCTTTCAGACAAATCTGGATATCTACCAACACTTTGGTAATCTTAGGTAAGACGTCTTCCTGATAGACATAACATTTAAAGGCAACAACAAACCCGCCCATCTACAAGCAACCAGTCTCATAGCACTTGTCAACCAAACCTGACACTAAATTAATTTGTAAACTCTATCATGTCAGGCCACTCCTCAGCCAATGGGAAGCTCTGATTTAATTATATCTGTCATCAAGGAGTATTTAACTCTTCCTCCAGGTCTTGTAACACTTGTTCCTGAACCAAGTGAGGTAATAAGTTGCATAAATATTTATTTTCTAAGATTACCCAGCATCCTCATTTGACAGGCATAATTGTGTTTAGCTGATAAAGGCACCAGTTGTCGGTGTGAGTAGAAGCAACTGTGATGATTGGCTGAGGGAAGATCCCGGAGGAATCGCCACACACAAGAACAATCTGTGGTCTTATCTTTGGTCACAGTGCAGTTTAAATCAACCGGGGAGGAACAGGTACAAACCTGATGTACAGACATGATATGTATCACACTTCAATAATTACAGCCATCAGTTCTCCGAAAACATTTTACAAACCCAATTAACTAGATTATTTGGACACTGTCGATAAGATTCTTCTTTTAGACCAGCCATAATAGATGTTGCTGATTTCATGACTGGGGTTTTGATAAGTAAATGAGTTTTTAATGAATTGTCGAAATTTTCACTGATGTGAGTCACGACAAGGGTATTTACATCGAAATAACAATGGAGAACCTTTGTCAAAATAAGGACACTGATGTAGCTGCTTCCTCTCTTTATGAAAACATAAAACATTTTTCTGCATTATTTTCTGAAATGAAAATATTTTTCCATTGAAATGAAATGTCTAATATCAGACTAAACACAATAGCTGTTCGGTTATGAATTCATAAACCTATAGTGACATCATCCTATTTTTCTTGAGATTTCTTCAAATAGTGGAAAGCCTGCAAAATGAGTTGCTGGGATCTAGGCCCAGGGCATTCTGAGAGAATTAGGTCATAAATGTATAAAACCTCATACCTAAAGTATACCACCTTATATTTCCTTGGTACCTCATCTTTCAATTTGTCAGAGTTTAAAATATTCATTTTCCCAAACATAACAGGAACTTTTTTTATGTACAAAGAACAATACAAAACAAAACAGACAAAACAAGGTATCCATAGCGACACCTGTAAGACATAGTGGTAACTATGACAATAACTGACAAGACTTTGGTATCCATGGCGGTAACAGACAAAACATGGTATCCATGACGATAACTGACAAGACATGGTTACCATGACAAAAACTGACAAGACATGGTCTCCATGATGATAAACTGACAAGGCATGGAAACCATGACGATATCCTTTCTGCAAAATAGCATACAATCTAGAACAATCACAGATAATTTCTCTCACAACCATCTCTCTTCTCTCTGAAAGCTTGGGTATCCTGATTGTCATACTGCTTACAGATTCCTACTATCATACAAGTCCGCACAGGTGGCCCAGTTGGCTAAGGCGCTGCAAGTTCACTGTGCAGAGTTGTGTCCCTTGAGCATGCCAGAAACCTACACTTTCAAATCTTACAGTTTCAAAACCAGGGACTTAAAACATTAAGTCTTTTTCAACAAAGGTAAGAAAAGAATATAAACAACATCCTAATCAGCTCAGAAAGCAGAAACCATGATGACACTGGCACCTTGAATGGCAGCATTTCATAACATCCTCATCATCAGCTGTGGAATCAGAATCCACATGCCATGGTGACATTGGCGCCAAGAATGGCAGCATTCATAACATCTACATCATCAGCTGAGGTAGCAGAAATCAAATGCCATGGTGACACTGGCGCCAGGAATGGCAGCATTTCATAACATCCAAGTAATCAACTGAGGAAGCAGAAAACACATGCCATGGTGTACACTGGCGCCAAGAATAACAGAATTTCAGAACATCTACATCATCAGCTGAGGAAGCAGAAACCATGATGACACTGGCGCCAAGAATGGCAGAATTTCAGAACATCCACATCATCAGCTGAGGAAGCAGAAACCACATGCCATGGTGGTCCTTAACTTCTTTTGAATAGTATATGATGATCATGAATCCTAGCATATAATGATTATCTACATTACAGAGAGGCATGTCTCGGTTTCACTCAAAGCACGGACTACATTGTCTGGACCTGTACTGGAACTGTGCACCAGACCTTGGATCACAGTTCCTCTTTAAGCAAACCATGTATCACTTGTATACGTCACAGTGACATATGCTCAATGATCAGAATGGAATTCAACTTTGGTATCAGGTACATCTACTGGCACAGCAGCTGAATGGAAACTTGATGACAACTTGGTGCAATCATTGTCATTAACCACACACTGTCATCATATTCTAAAACATATGTCAGACTCAGATCAAAGGTGAGATCAATGGCAGTATCTAAGATCTATGGAATATATCTCATGGTATTTCTACTCTGGGTAAGCATCTAGTCTTTGACGTAATAAGCGCCCTGCTTTAATAAGCTCCCACTGCGATATTTGCTAATATATTGGCTCGTGAACAATCTCAATTAGCACCCTTCCGACTGATCAATGTACACACGACTTATTTATTTGTGTATAATACGTACTTGTGTGTTGTATGCACCCTTAATTACGGGCAATTAAATTCTGGAAAAACATATCTGTCGTGTATGATACGCACAGACTTTTCTTGTGTATCATTTCAGGCTGTCAGCATAAACCAGGAAATTTATCTTTCAACTCTTTCACCAAAATTATATTCTAATAAGAGGCCCCTATTTCTATTCTTGAGAGCGCCCTGGGCACTTATTACATCGAATACAGTATTTAATAAAGTGTTCATCCAAATGCAATTTGCACCCTTTATCCCATCCATCTCTTGCAGTCTGTACTCTTCCTACCTAAAGAGACTTCAACGTTCCTTATTACTTGAGGGTTCCCTTATGAAATTACTTTTATTAAGCCTCATTGATAAATTTACTTCAAAGACAATAGTCAATGCATGCATCCCATGGCAATAAGACTGATAATGTCTTAAGCCACTTCATCTTCCTGAGGTAAGGGAATTAACTGTCCATAACAGTCCAGTTTCCACCCTTGCTGAACTATGTAATGATATCAACATCCGGTTCATAAACATTGTGACTGTCGTGCAGATTTCGGTAGATTGCAGGATTTGCGGAGCATGTATACCATCAACTGGGCGTCAAGAGATATTTTCAAACTCTTTTCATGTTTTAAATCAATGTGCCCATGTGATTTAAAGCACTTCGCGAGGCAAGAGCCATTTTATTTTACAATAAAGATCATGATTATTGATCAGATTGTCTTGACTGGGCGCCGCCAAACCGGGGAAGCAAATGCATGTGATAATAGAGGAGGAATCTGATTGGTCAATAGCAGGGACATCAAAGAGCCATACCTCGTCATAACCACTGGTGGCACTATGATCGAGTCACAAAATTCAAGCTTATGTCGGCAAGGGTGGAAACTGGATTTTTACTACCTTGCCTGGGGAAGATGAAACTACATAGACAATCTGCCACAGATAACTCGATCTGAGTCCGACTTACATAGGACAGGATACGGTGGATCATACAAAGAAAGTCAAATAACTTATCTCAATATATTTGGCAGCTAATATGTTTAACTATATTACAATTACAATAGCATTATGTACCACTTTCCCTGTGACTTCCTCAGTCTGGAATTCAACAACAATAAAGTCTTTATCACATATACACATCTCCAACCAATCACAGAGATTCTGGTGTTCACATGATCCCATCTCACCAATCATAGCTCATCACATGATCCAATTGATCAGCCAGAGCTTCCAGTCTGACCAATCACAATTCTTCTTCAATCACTTAATGTATTATTGTCCAATCAGAGTCCTTTTTCTCATTTCTGCAGCACAAGATTGTCACATGACTAATGTTGACCAATCATATGTTGGTGTAGCCTATCATTATTGCCAAGCACAGTAACAAGGCTGTAGAGTGGATGTTTCCAGCTCCACTTTTGTAAAAGGAATACTTGTTGACAGGAGGAAATGTGGTCTGTCGGTGCTTGGGCGGAGTCTCAGCTTCTTGAAGGTAATCGGGCCTGGAACAAAAATTCACATGGTTGTCAAAGATGAACATTCCCTCTCATATGTTAACAAAATAACAACTGTTTTGTCACAAATGCGATATCACTTTTTATCATTATTTCATGTTGATTGAAACTGTGACAGACATTGATTTTAATGTTCAATTTATACCAAAAAGCAGGAGCTGAGCTATCTATTGGCTAAACTAACTCGTCATTTAAACAAATTATTTTGACTTTTGACTAGCATTTTCATGAAACCTAGTCAATGCCAACTCCTCAGCTATCAGCAATGATGATGTTGGTGCTGCACATTCGCTATCTACTTACCCATCTCCCTCCATCCTGACCCACAGATCATTGAATGTTTTTCTGCCACCACTATTTTTCTTCCTTTTTCGTTTTCCTCTGTGGTCAAAAGGCAAACTGCAAATAGATAAGTCACAAATAACCAAAGAAATCTTGGAGGCTGAAATTCCCTTGTTACTCAGTTATCATAAGACTGATGCACAAGATATAAGGAGGGCCTAATTAACACCTGAGCACATCTGACCCATTCTTACCTGTCCTTAGTAATACCTGTGTACATCTGACACCCTCCTACCTTTTCTAATTAACACCTGGCCACCTTCTATCTGTCCTAATTAACACCTATGACCATCTGAACCCTTCCTACCTGTCCTAGTTAACACCTGTGAATATCCAACCCCTTCCTACCTGCCCTAGTTAACACCTGACCACCTTCTACCTGTCCTAATTAACACTTATGAACCCTTCCTACCTGTCCAAATTAACACCTGTGAACATCTGACCCCCTCCTACCTGTCCTAATTAGCACCTATGAACATCTGACCCCTTCCTACCTGTCCTAATTAGCACCTATGAACATCTGACCCCTTCCTACCTGTCCTAATTAGCACCTATGAACACCTGACCCCCTCCTACCTGTCCTAATTAGCACGTATGAACATCTGACCCCTTCCTACCTGTCCCAATTAACACCTGTGAACATCTGACCCCTTCCTACCTGTCCTAATTAGCACCTATGAACATCTGACCACAACCTACCTGTCGACATCAAGACTACTCCACAGGGCATCCAGCTGCTTCTGTCTCTGCCTCGCCTTCATCTGTTTCCGCCGTTGTTTGCGGCGCCGTTGCTCATGTCTGATCCTGAATCATACACGTCTCATATTAACACCGAGAAAACATCTCTAAGTAGATATAAAGAATGTACATAAAATGATGACACACAGATGATAAATGCAAATATATATTTTTTTCTGATTCTGAATTGTGAACAAATTGAGCATGATAAGGATGATGAGATAATTTAACTTCTACCTCTAACAAACTAGGAGCAACATAATTGATTATCATTTAAGATTGAGACAATCATAGAGCCAAGAATCTTGCAGCTCACCTGACTCAAACTGCATTGTTTTGGAGTGAGAAAAGATCCATTTTTGTAAAATAGACCTGTTTCAGCACATATCATGTTTGCTTTTCCAAAACACTAACCACACACCATATCTCAAGCATGATCAGATAAACATCATTAAGGAAGTATGGTACAGTTAAATTGATATCAAAAGGAACTTCAAAGACAAAATGAGAAGATAAGTACCAATAACAATGCCTTAGACAAATTTGGAAATATTTATGGCAATTTAATATATACAATGTTTCATTTGTCTGGTCTTTGCGGTCTCTGAGCACAAGGGCTTGTAACTAAAATTAAATTGAATCATTCTTTTTCCAATTTTATCTCCCAAATAAATTAATGTGGAACACTTGAACAAATTTGAGCCCTTCCACACATAGGAATTGCTATAAAAATGTTTCAATTAAATTGATCCGGCGAAATGTGAAATGTCTACAGACAACAACCCTGGATGATGTTCCATGGCAAAAGCTCAAATGTTCTTTTGGGGCAAGTGAGCTTCTGAAACATTCCTCCACCAAATTGTGATGGTTAGTAGCTAGTTATTTAATCTAATTTAGTTTCTACCAAGCTTTTTATGCCTGTAAAACATGCAAGGCAAATGTCGATATGAGGAAAAGAAAAAGCATCGTAAAGGGAGCCTTGACTGACCATACCCTGGAATTACCGTCAGTTTTTTTTTTGCATGCACAGCAATAGGCAACAACATCATCAACATTTATTTCTTTTTAAGTTAATAAACTAAAGAAAACACCCATTTATCATCCACCAGTATGCATGCAGATTGTTACTTGATCCAATCTAAGTAAAAATAATCTGGGAATTTCAGCATAAGGACTTATTAAAAGCTTCGAAATTAAACAATTTCTTTATAAGTGAAATTGAACAAATCAATTCTATCATGATTTTGTTAAGCATTCTTTGCTATATACCACAATTCCTATAAAATCTTAAACACTTTAAGAAAATACAAAACATTTTCCTTTTAGTTCTGTTTGCAGCAAGAGTCATGGAAAGGAAATTAATATGAAACAATTTTGAAGTTGATTTGTGGCTACTTTGGGCTCAGTAGCTTTTGAGTAACATCAATCATGAAATCCAAAGAATCAGCAATTGACAGTAAAGGGGAGAGCGCAAAGAGACAGTTTTTAATTAATACAAAATTGTTGTCATTCCATGTCTGATAAGCCAATGTAGATGTATTGATTATGTATCAAATCACAGACATTAGGTCCTGTTTATAAAACAAAAAAAGGACCAATTGAAATGAATAAAGTAAAATTTGTGACAGAAAATAACTGCCACAGCATCACCAAAAGATATTTCAAGGATAAACATTTCCTTTGGGCTATTGTAAGATATGTGTAGTAAATTTGAATGATTTAATGGGGACTTTGCTTGGTCGAATTGGCAGTCCCAAACAATTGATATAAACACCACTTCGCTTGATGCTAGCTAGAATTGTATGATGTATACTAATCAAAGAGTAAACAGTTACTCAAATAACCTAGAGTCAAAGCTCCATACATCTAGCCCAGAGATTTATCCAGGATTCTAAACTACCGGTAAATGACCTTGGCAGGCAGTTTCGGGGATGAAATCATTATTTTGCTCAAATTTGTCAGTGAAATAAAAATCACCTCCACAAAGGCGTAACAGTAGGTATTACTTTATAACATGAATTGGGAATTTTGAAATTTGGGAATTTGGACAGTCATTTCCTGCAGACTTGGGGCCGAATATTGGCCTCTGAGAAGGTCTAGACAAATCCCTGGACTGAAAACAGGCAATTGACAATCCAGCATGGTTCCTCTATAATATTTAAATTCTCATAGGAATTGTGGTATCACTTCAGTTAAAAAAACTTCACAGGAAAAGTCTGCCATGCTACTTCTAGTTCCAAAGGATATACCTTTTCTTGAATAGATACTGTATATCTCCGTAGAGCACATCGGAGGGGAGGGGAAACTCAGAGGTCATGTCTGCCAAAAAGTGTCTCCGAGGTTTATTGGATTTCTTAGAATTATGTGACTCGGGCAATCTAGAAATAGACACATGTGTGTGTGAGTGAGTGAGATGATCGGACACCACTTTTAGCAATATTCCAGCCATTTCCCAGAGGGGACTAAGAATGCGCTTCACACATTGTACACACCCTGGGAATAAAACCCAGGTGATGGCGAGCCAACGCTGGCACTACTTGGCTTCCCTACCCTACTGCCACATCCATCTACAACTTTAAAACTTAATGCATTATCATATTCTTTCATTTAAAAGATAATAGGAAGAATTTTAACAATGCAAATAAAATATTGCAGGCACTTATTTATTGTATTTGGATGAAACACAAATTAAAACTGGTTAATTATATTTTGTATAAAAAGTAATGTAATCATGATGTCATAAAGTAACAATGAAAAGAAACTATTATCCTTCAATACAATTTGTATAAGGGGTATCCATATTTTGTTCATTCTTTTTTATTTAGTTTCACGTTTAATGTTTGGGCCCTCAAACTGTTTGTTGGCGAATAACAGTATTTAAAAATTGATGAGTGAGTGAGTGAGTTTGGTTGTACGCCGCTTTTAGCAATATTCCAGCAATATCACGGCGGTGGACACCAGAAATGGGCTTCACATATTGTACCCATGTCGGGAATCGAACCCGGGTCTTCGGCGTGACGAGCGAACGCTTTAACCACTAGGCTACCCGTAAAAATTGATGATGATGTTGATGATGATGATTATGCACATTTCTTATTTGTTACAAGACCGATTGGTTTAATACTGAAGATAATATTGATACAGTTGATTACAGAACAGTAAATTCTGAATGAAGAACTTAAGAAAAAAAGTCTTGATATATACTGCTAAAAAAACGTTAAAGAACACCCACAATTGGAAGGCTGGGTTATACCTACCAGCCATGACAGATTTTGAGGAAAAAAAATCGATGTTCTTTAACTTCTTTTGAGTTATATATTTCTTGAATCTTGGTACACATAAACATGCTTTGGGAAATATATTTTGCTCAGGGTTCAGATTGTTCTTTTATGCATTGGGAAGATATCTTACATAATTTACAATATAATGCAGCAGATCACAATAACCTTCCGTACCATAAATGTCATGTAGAACGCATTTGCAATAAATTTATGTTTAAAAAAAAAATCAGTTTAATAACACAAATATGACATTTATTACCTAACTATGTCCCCACTTAATACAATTTCAAAATGTAATATCACTCAAAACACTTGCTTAGGGGTTTATTTCCATACACTTAATAGTCCCTTAAAGTGATAAACATAAATTCCCACTTTAATGGCGCTATTTATCAAATGTTCAATGACATGTTCGTGACACCATTCCAGATACCAGGGAAAAGCATAGTGGCCACACTTTACCACCTTCTGCCAACGTCTGAAAACCCATAAAGCTATATCATATCAAAGGCATTCAATCGGGAATAGTTGTAAAATACGTCAAATAACTCTCTCACTTCATAAACGATGATAAACACCAGATAAACAAACATATGGCTCTTCTATTTGTGTGATCGTGCCAGGCAAACAGTACACTCTTTTAAGTCTTCAAATTTGAAAAAAATATGGTTTAAGGATAGATTTCAATTTTATTTCCTTCTTTCGGAAGATTTCTTGACTCAGCGTGTCACTTCAAAGTTTCTCTTATCTGGGGGTCAAACATTTTATGTAGGAGATAGCTTAGAAATGCATTTATTTTCTCAAACGATTTCTGTTTGAGTCTTTTCTGGTCCATCACCTGATTGTATGGTTGTACTTACCTGCTGTTACATGGCAGGTGTACTGCTGTGCGGTGTCGGGGCAACAAGGACATATGTCCTTATGCAAATTGTGTGAGTGGCAGGCGCTATCAGTAGGGCAGGACATGGCCACCCTTTTGGTGAAAACCAGTCTTAATTTGTGATTATAGCTATGGCTTTCTTTAACTATGGCTGATCTGATTGAAGATTACAGCTAGGATTCTTTAACTATGGCTGATCTGATAGTGGATTATAGCTAGGATTCTTTAACTATGGCTGATCTGATAGAAGATTATAGTAGCTTTCTTTAACTATGGAAGATCTGATAGAGGATTTTAGCTAGGATTCTTTAACTATGGCTGATCTGGATGAAGATTATAGCTAGCTTTCTTTAACTACGGATGATCTGGTAGAGGATTATAGCAAGGATTCTTTAACTATGGCTGATCTGGATGAAGATTATCTCTGTGGCTTTCTCTAACTACATAGCTACACTTGCTTCCAAGAACAACGAAAAATAGATAGTCATAGATCGACGCACAAGAACAACGGATCGTAATTAGCCAAAAGTCAATTCACAAAATGTCATGGTTGATATATTTCACACCAACTTGATCACACAAGTCAACCAACTGCGTACTGAAGAGACAGGTGTCCTTTAAGGAAGACTCTCTGCATACACATTGATGGAAGTAGAGGTACTTACACGGGGATTTCTTCATCCGAGGCAGTATGGGTGACATTGAATCCTGCTTCTTGTAAATGGTTGATTATGGTATTGTTGCCAAGAAAATGCCCTGGAATGCAAAACAACAACTTTTAATGTCATGAATTTGGGAAGAAAAACATGCAAGTATTTATCTCTGACATTAAATCAATACACAAGGGACATAATATCAGTCTCATGAAATTATTTATGAATCAGATTTTACCATACTGCTCTCATTAGGACATGAAATGGCTGCGGAGGTTGACAAGATCACCAAGAAGTATCCAGCCATGCAGCCACTGATGCTTGATACAAGGATTTCTGATGTTTTTAAAGTAATTATGGCCAAATGTTGCAGACGGTGATTTCCTCTATCGGATTTGATTGACATATTGTCCATAGAGCAACACAATCATTTGGACAAGGAATCTGAATATGGATTCATAATATAATATTCTGACTATCATGTATAGTCAAGAATATGGCATGACAGTTGTATCTAAAATACGGAACCCCAAAATCCTAAATTTATCAAATTATTCCATGTGCCCAATAAAACAAGTTGCAATTTGAAGCCAAAGTTCTTATTACTCATGGCTGTTCGTGTATGAATTTTCCTATACTGGACATGAATGTGAATTTACTTTACATCAGATATCCATATCATCTAAGCCAAATAGCATCAGTCAAAAATCAATATTAAAGCTATCTTTTCATTTTGATTCATCGATGAAGTTAATGAACAGTGGGCCATGTGTTCTGGGATTTATTAATCAGCCGGGTCGGTCCAGTGGATAAAGCGTTAGCTTGTCATGCTGAAGACACAGGTTTGATGCCAAGAAAGGTTCACCCCGATTATCTAGGTTTGTCTGCACCATGTCAATGCTTGTGTGTTTCACCAAAGTGGAAATTATGTCTAAGACCTGCATCACTTTGGGGAATATTTGAATATGAACCAAATATGAACCAAATACAATAACAGTGTTCAGTAAAAGTTGTTCATTTGAACATAAATAATCTTATAAATAATTCTTAAAAACAATCAAACGTATTTGGCTAACTTGTAAATGTTTTAATGGAAATGTGGTCCAATTAAAAATGTTGTTTGTACATAAAAACAAAAAAACAAACAAAAAAGAAACCTGAGACAAAGAGGAGAGATTGCAATACGTATGATCATTATTCATATAATTTCCGATCCAAGTTTTCAACATCACCGGAAACAGGGGATATTTTGCCCAGATGTAGAAACATTTACTCTTGTCGGTTGTTGTAGAAAAGCATGTGGTGGGTGATATATGTAATTGTGTGGTGGTGGTGTTTGAGTGGAATAAAAACTTGAATGAAACTTCCTCCAACATCAAGCTGACATGCCGTGATGTAACTGGAATGCTGTTTAACTCATTTATTCACTCACTCACTCACTCAGGGACACTGTGTACAGACAATTTTCTGTTGTCCCTTGACTAACATTTAATCCCAGAAACAGTTATCTTATTAAATCATATATATCTACACAATACAAAATAAAATCTAAATAGGAGCCCAGAACAATCATTCTAGACTTGAGTTGGATTTATATATTGTCTGGGAGACAGACTAGATGTCGTCCTACTTACACTGTGATATGAATGTGATATTGCTAACAGGAGCAAAAACACCCAACTCATTCATTGAATGCAGGTAGAGTGAGTGAGTGAGTTGTGTTTAACGCCGCTTTTAACAGTATTCCAGTCATATCACGGTGTGTCAGCTTAATGTGGGAGGAAAGCCTGAAGTGATGCAGGTCTCAGACGTTTACCACTTCGGTGAAACCAACGAGCACGGGTATGGTGCCGGGATTCGAACCCACAATCATAGGTTTCTGGCGTGCCCAGAATGCAGGTAGAAATCATGAATGGCTCAATGATCAACACAGAAAATGATAGCTTGTACCGAGGATACTCTGATACATTTCAAGACCTGATGAAGCATGATTGGCTTGTTTACACAGCCATCAGAACCTGGTGAAATAAACATGACATTTGTACTGCTTCTGAACTTGAAAGTACATCCCAATCCTACTTGGGTGAGACAGTACGAGGCGATACATCAAAAGTTTCCAGAATCAGTTTTTTCATATCAAAGCTGTATTTCCTTTGATTTTAACCTCTGCTACCCCGATGAGGCGGAAAATGTTGTGAGAGTCTGGTGCAGTTCTCAACGACATCCGGTATACTACAGGTACATGATGTAAATGATGTCATGGAACTATCGGTTCCTTGTCCTGCTATATGTTACCCCCTTCCTCGGGTCAAGTAGGATTCAGACATTACTGCTTAACTGTCATAATTTAAATGAATCCCACTTAGAAACATCTTCATAATGACGACACTTGGAATATTGCATTCTGGGTAAAGCTGATTTCTCAAGATTTGTTTTCGATGATGATGATGATGATGATGATGATGATGATGATGATGATGATCTTCAGAATGTGATAATTGTATAATACTATTATTTTAGATTTTGCAAAAGTGGTCAGCACCTGTGATGATCCGGGTTAGAATTTGTCTTCATAAGAGGTGACAAACGGGAGCAGGTGGTCAGACTTGCTGACTTGGTTGATGCACGTCATTGTATGCCAATTGTATAGACTGGGTTTAATTAAGCCATCTGAGTTAGAGTTAAATTTACTGCAGCTTAAACAACTATTTTCTTTTCCTTTTATTTCAAATTTCTGTTCTTCACAAAATACTTGTGACGCATATCATCAAAAGACGAAATAAAATCCTTTGAAAAGTTGTTTTGAACAACATCCTTGGGATTAAGCAATTTATCTCTTTTAACTCAACTCCAAACTGTTTCTTTCTATTGAAATGTATAGTTTTTTTCAGAAAAAGAAATTAACTTTGTCTGTTTAAACCTGTCTGGAGACGTTAGTAGTAAATTGTGTACAACTGCTAAGTGCTTCCTATCACTGCAGAGGAATTAACATTGACACTGATGAAATGGATTTGAAGTGAGCAGGAGAATGGGGAGGTAGTTTTTAGCTTTCCTGTCCACATTTCCAGCCTGTTGAACATGTAGATGTCAAGTCCCTTGTTTCTCTGAGAAGGCAACTCTCACAGCTCGTCTTTACTTACTGTTATTGAAGTATAATATCGGTCATTTAATTGTTTGATAGGCCATAACAAGCATCTGTATGGATGATAAACGTCCATATTTTCAGTGTTACAGTAACAGTTTGTTTTAACTGCTTGGATTTATCAGAGTGAGTGAGTGAGTGAGTGAGTTAATGCTTTACGTCACATCGGCAATATTTCAGCCATATCGTGACGATGGATTTATCAGAGTTGTCGACATGAACTGAGACTGTTTGAAAGACACATATTTTCTTTTTAAACATATGGACTCTTTGGCCTTAATACCCTGATTCTACATTGTATATATCATACAGTTCAGACACTACACCTTTAATATGCTACAGTTAAGACACTGCACCTTCAATATGCTACAACTCACACTACACCTTTAATATGCTACAGTTAAGACACTGCACCTTCAATATACTACAACTCACACTACACCTTTAACATGCTACAGTTAAGGCACTACACCTTTAAGATGCTACAACTCACACTACTCCTTTAACATGCTACAGTTAAGACACTAAAACACCTTCAATATGCTACAGTTAAGACATTGCACTTTTAACATGCTACAGTTAAGGCACTGCACCTTTAATATGCTACAGTTAAGACACTGCACTTTTAACATGCTACAGTTAAGGCACTGCACCTTTAATATGCTACAGTTAAGACACTGCACTTTTAACATGCTACAGTTAAGACACTGCACCTTTAATATGCTACAGTTAAGACACTGCACCTTTAAGATGCTACAGTTCAGGCACTACACCTTTAAGATGCTACAGTTGAACACAAGCGCTTTATGATGCTAAACTCTGACGCTATCACTTTAAGAGATTCATATTTTGATTCTATACTTCAAAGAAATTCTGTGTTGAGATTATGTCTCTCTTGATCACCTCTCCGCCCACGGTGTAGCACTAACTACCTTGCACCGAGATTTACATTGGGTGTGACTGGGCTCTTGCTCATATAAATGATGCATATTTGAGAAGAGATAATTATTCTCTTTGCTTTAATGACATTCTAAGGTCTTGACACGACCTTATTATTGTGAACTAATAATCTTTTACAACCGTGCATGTGAAATATTACTTAAACTGGTTTTATGAGAGCTTATAGTGTCTTTTTACACGTCAGGTATGTTCTGAAATATCTCACAGTAATAAACAGTGAAGCATAACAATACGACCCTGATATAATATTTCTTTCCCTCAAAACATGTGTATATAAATGACATGGATATTTACATGTCAATATCATTCCACATTAGATAAAGAAATGGTTTGAGCTGCATGACATTTCATAGCTGCCGTGGGTACATCTGGGATATGTCATAATGAATAAATGTTCTCTTGAATGCCTTAATGTAAGAAATACCCTTCAATATTTATACTACATTTTTATTGAATTTTTCTTAAAAGATTTAGTACAGTTCTTATACTTCAGTTTGTTATTTGAAACCATTTTTATGGGGAGGAAAGTGCAATAATTTTCAGCACCAATATCTCATTCCTTATGGGGGCGGTCGGGTAGCGTAGGATGAATATAGATGATGGATGGATGGATGGATGATATGAACGAATATAGATGATGGATGGATAATGAATGGATGGATGGATGGAAGGATGATATGGATATGGCTGATGAATGGACATTGATGATAGGTGGATGGATGAATGTAGATGATGGATGATGGATGGATGATATGGATGAATATAGATGATGGATGAATTATGTGGGGAATGGCCAGGTAAGTGGATATCAGAACGTTGGATGACAATAAATGTGACAGATGGGCAATTGTACACATGATGAAACGGGTTTTTTAATACCTTTTTATATGGTATATACTGACAAATTATTTCAAAAATATAAAACAGTTTACACCTCATAATAAACAAACAGGATCTTTAAAATGAGAAATTCCACACCAACAGCATACAAATGTAAATCA